GAACGATTTTTTTATCGTTCAAGGCGAACGATTCTTTATCGTTCTTCTTGAACGATTTTTTTATCGTTCAAGGCGAATGATTCCTTATCATTCTTCTTGAACGATTTTTTATCGTTCAAGTCAAACGATTCCTTATCGTTCGACTAGTGAATATTTTACTCACTTAAATAATAGAAAAATACATATTAGTTTAAAAACAACTAAAATAGTTTTTGTTGATGATGATCTATGAAAATCATAACACATCTGATATTATGCAAATTCTTGGTTATTTAATAACAAATTTCTGGTATCTAGACATAGAAAATATTAAAAAACTATTAGATTGATTAATAATGAAAATATAGCTAAAAAATGTGAAACCTGGATTTATAAGCAAAATTTTAAAGCCAGTCAACTATATTTAAAGAATTTGTTAAAAAAAAACTATTACCTAATATTAGAGTTACTAAGAAAAAATCTATTTCTTTAATGATCGCAATGAGATGGCTTAATATCCTTAATTATTTATTTCAAAAACATCATCAAGGTATATATTATGATAAATATGAACGAGATGATATTTTACAATATTACGAAGTATTTTTGGAAAAAATGTTTGAACATGAGAAATATATATCTAAATATGAAGGTGAAATAATAAAACATATACAGTCAGACCTCTATACAATCATCTCCTATATAGTCATACCTTCTTATAAGCACTCATTTTATAAAACAGATTTTAATATTATTAAAATACTTCTATATAATCACAAATCAATAATAGTCACTATCACATTATATTTATAATGTACATATCATTTTTGTTAGTAATTCGACCTCTTTATAATTACAAAATTTTTGATTGGCTTAGATTAAATAAATTTAATTGATTATTTTTTTTTGTAATACATAATAAAATATAACAAGTAAAAATGTAACATATAAAATATGTAAAAATATAATGCATTTTAGTAAAGCTTAGAAAATAGAATAATAATTTATAACACTTAGAAAATAGAGCAATCTTCTTGAATTTTTTGAATTTTACACAGTTTTCATATTTGTCTTATAGTAGTAGTTTTTCTATATCAATTAATAGCTATAATGTTTATTATCGTAGCTTTGTTTACTAAAAGCTTTTCAAGAACCCTTTTAAAGCAATTCTTAAATAACCTTTTTTTTCTGTCTTTTTTATAATGCCTCCTAACAGATCTGATAGACCTAAATAATACCGTTCAGCTATAAGTATTAACCTCAAAAAATAAATTTGTGAATGGTCACAAAATAATAAAAATAAAACACATTCAGAAATTGAAGATTATTTCAATAAAAAAGACTCAACTTAAATATTAAACGTAACACTATATTAAAAATATTGAAAAAAAAGTGAAAAGTAGATCTTTGTAATAGAAGAAGGTTTCAAGGAAATTTTTAGATATAAAGGAGTCAAATTTCTAGAACTTGATTATGCTATGAATTTGTGAATAGAAAATGTAACGGCAAATGAGATCATTCTAACAGATTTATTAATAAAAGAAAAGGCAAGATTTTTTGCCAATGCACTCAATATACAAAAAAATAAATATATGTTTCTAATGGTTGGTTATATAAATTCAAAAAATGTAATAATGTTCGTAAATATCATATGTATGAAAAATCAGAAAGTGTGCTATTAGCATTACTTCTAGAGAAATGAGCAAGGTTACAATTAATTTTAGGCTAGTATATTCTTGATAGAATTTACAATATTGATAAAACTGTAAGTTTATTTTATTTTATTTACATATTATTTTATTTATATTATTATTTTCTAAATTAATATATAATTTATTATTATAAAAGGTCTTTTTTATTGAATGTCTTCTAACTAAATCCTTATTACTAAACCTGTTTCTAGCTAAAAAAAATATAAGTCAAAAATCACTATACTTCTTAACTCTAATATAACAGGAACAGATAAACTCAAACTATAGGTAATTGATAATACTAAGTATTCAAGATCACTTTCAAAAGTTAATTTAAAATATCTTTCAGTTTACTATCGTGAAAATCTGAAGGCATAAATGAATTCTTCAGTTTTTGAAGAGATGCTTCGTAAAATAGACAATTATTTTAAAATACAAAACAAAAAAATTTTGCTCCTAATTGATAATGCTCTATCACATTTTAATTCATATAGTTTATTAACTTTAAAAGTTGAACAAGATAATCAAAATGAAGACAGTAATAGTGAAGTTAGATATACAGGTAGTTGTTTAAGTGGCAGTCATAGTGAAAGATCAAGAGGTCATGGCAGAGGATCAAGAGGTCATAGTAGAGGATTAAGGGGTTATAGTAGAGGATCAAGAGGACATGATAGAGAATCAAGAGGTCATAATAGAGGATTAAAAGGTAGACATAGCAGTGAATTAAAAGGTTATGATGATGAAGAGTCAAGAGGTTATGGTAGTCATAGTAGTAAATCAAATATTTTTCAATAGCAGCTAATTCATATTAAAGTTATTTTTTTACCTTTAAATACAACAAGCCATCTCTAACCACTTAATGCTGGAATAATTGCAAATTTTAAGAGCTATTTTAAGAGAAAATACTGTCATCATATACTGGATCTTTTTGAAGATAAAAAGATATTAACAAAGAGAAGATTAGTATTAAAGAAGCAATAAACTATATTGTAGAAGCATAGGGTTATGTAACTGAGAAAACAATTCAAAATTGTTGGAAAAAAACTGGGATTCTTCTTTTATCTAATGAAGATGTACATGATATAATACAAACCTAAGAATAATGAGCTGAAGAAGAAAATGTAGATATTAATCAAATGAATACAGATCTCGATATGAATAATTCTTCTGCAACTTTGTTAATAGATGCATTGAATAATTTTTTTAATGACTTAAAGGGAATTTCAACTGAAGATGTTTTAGATGAAAATGACATTATAAAACTTGTTAGAGAGGAAATACATAATGATAATGAAAGTAATGAAGATAGTGATTCTGAAAAAGAACAAATACCAATATCTTTAAGTGGTACTCTCAAATCTCTACAAATATAGATCACATTCTTTAAGCAATAGCAAACAGATGAGTTTTGTGTAGCAGATATAAAAATCTTTAACAAATATTATAAGATAATCAAACAGCTTGAATTACAATCTCAGAAGCAAACTTTCATTATAAATTTTTTTTAGCGGTTAATTAATACATAGTTTATATAATATTTATATAGTGTTATAATATTATATAGCATTTATATTACATTTAAATTTATAATAATGTGCTTTAAAAAACTATTGTTGTATTTAATAAAGTGTTCTAAAATTAATTATTATTACATTTTAAAAATTAACTATTGTTTCATAATATCTAATAAAAAAAATTTTATATAATCACTGCATATAATTTATTAATATGATTGTGATTGTATAGAGAGTACTTTTTATAGTCACACTTTTATACAATCACTAATTTTAAGGAAATTGAATAGGTGACTATATGGAGGTCTGACTGTATATCCTAATTTGCCTGAAGGAGAAAAAGAATGAATTCTTATAACTCATGATGAAAACATTTTTTATTCTAATGATAGCAAACGTAAAGTATAGGCTAAAAATGAGAACTATTATTACGAAAAAAAGGAAATGAAAGATCTATAATAATTAGTAAGTTTCTTACTAAAATTTATAGATATTTGTATTTACAATAAACTAATATATTGCAAAATCCAAATATATCTGAAGAAGCACAATGTTATTTAAAACCTGATAAAAATCAAGAAGATTATTGGACAGCTGAACATCTTCTTAAACAAATCAAATGTAAAATCATTCCTATTTTTGAGACGTTGTATTTAAATTGTGTAATAGTATTTGCCTTTGATAATAATTCAAATTATGTTGCATTTGAAAAAGATGCTCTAATTGTAAGCTGAATGAATTTGAATCCTGATGGCAAACAACTGATCATGCATAATACTTATTTTAGACTAAATCAACAATCATAATTAATGGTATTTTCAGCTATTCATTTTAATGAAAACTTTGAGATCAGCCTAAAGGAATCAAACAAGTATTAATAAAACGAAGAAAATAGCTATCTAAAGGATTAATATTAGAATGTAAAAATTGTAAAGGAAAAATTCAAGATTCTTCAAGAACTTCTTGTTGTGCTCATCAAGTAATATCTTTAAAATCTGATTTTCTTGTACAAAAAGGAGCAATGAAGAATTAATTAAAAAAGCTGATCATAAATGTATTTTTTACCCTAAATTTCATTGTGAACTAAATTTCATTGAAAGATATTAGGGAGCTTATAAAAGATATATTAAAGAAAATTGCAATTATTCATGAAATGGATTACAGCAAATAGTACCTAAAAGTCTTGATTCTATACTATTAGTTATAATTAAAAAATTTGCAAGAAAGTGTTGGCATTATATGGATGCTTATAAAAAGGTATTAGTAGAAAATTGGCAGAGTATGCTGTTAAAAAATAAAAATCTTATAGGAGAATTTCAGATAGTGTTTTAGAAGAATTAAATAAAATTAAAATTAATTAGATAATTATCTTTTAACTAATAAAAATCAATCTACATGATTAAGTTATATGAAGATCAACAAAAAAAATTTCAGACTCCTTGATGAGTATAGATATTTGTTATTAAATAAACTGTTAATTTATCGATACTCTTCTAAATCTAAATATCAAATTAAACCTTCTGCTTACCATCCATAAATATTGCTTTGCTTATCACTTATAAGCATCTTAAAGAACTGACCATAACACTTAGTACCTTCTGTCAGAAAAGTTTTTGAAATTTGTTTAAATCATTTATGTTTGATGAACATTATTTGTTGAATCAAAAGCATTATATATTGCATATCACTTTAAATCGAAATAATATAATTGCATAGCATTGTGACAGATCTTGCTATTTTTGTTACCCCTGAACCTATTACTTTTGAGCGTTTTTACCATTTTTAGAACTGGTATACTATTAAATATCTTGCAATAATGTTTACCAGATACTCAACAATATATTGAAAAATTAAATTATACTTACCTCTATATTAGATCATCTGACGCAATAGATCAAGTTATATTTAGTCTTATTTTTAGTATATGATATAATGCTGGATTTGGAGAATCACCCACTACAGTTAGACAAAATATTTACAATGCATTTATATTGACCTGAGGATTTGCATTAGATCCACTATATCAATTATATCAAATTTCTGAGACAACTTCAATACTACCTTTTGAAATAACTGAAACAACTGAGGAATCTAATTCAATAATTTTAAGTGATAATGTTGACAATAATCTATATACAAACAGTTTATTATATATAGACGAAGAATTAAACTTAGAAAATTTATTTGAAGAAATGGTTGCAAATCAAGCTAACATTCAAGCATTAACTGCTGCTCTACAAAATATTGCTAGAATTTTAAATCCAAACGTTCTACCTAATGCTAATGCTAACAATGGGATTTTTAATTTGATCAATCAATTACAAGCCAATGCTCAAATTATGAATGCTAATCCATCATGAAGAGAATCTCATATTGCTGACCTTCCTTATTTTTATAGTGAAAATCAAGACCTAATTAGCTGGATGGAAGATTTTACACGAGCTTGCAATGCAAACGGAATCAATAATAATAGGAAGCTCAAAGTTGTGCCTGCATATTTGAAAAATTCAGCCTCAACTTGGTAGACCATAAATCAAGCACTGGTAAACGGTCATGCTAATCGTATTACTGCATAGACTGGTAATAATAATAGAACAAATTTCACTGTAATCTTTTCAACTGCCTTTAGATCTCAAACGTTAGTAGAAATTTGATCAACTGAACTAGAGAGGAGAAGACAGCAACCTGATAAAATAGTTGATAACTATGCTAATGCTTTACTTGAATTATACTATAGAGTTAAAACACCAGCCTTTCAGTATTCTGATGTCTACAAAGTCAGACGACTTATTTCTAGACTTTTGCCTGAGCTCCATATTCTCATCAAACTATTCAATGATCAAACATGAACAACTGCATTAGATCAAGCTAAACAATATAAATTTACATATAAGGATACTACTACTGTAAAGGTTTACATAAATAAGTTCGCCTCTCTAAAGGTTGCTTCAACTCAGATGAGTGACTTAAATAATGCTATTGTCACCCCAATATAATAAATACAACAGATGAATATAAATAATAATAATAGAAAAAATAATAAAGGCTATCAAAACAATCGACAAAATGCCTAGCAGCAATACTAACTCTATTAACAAAATAACCAACAAGCATTCGTTTAAAGTAACCAGCTAAATTACAATATTCAAAATAATAATCAGCAGCAGAAAGAAAACATCACTTGCTTTAATTGTAAACAACCAGGACACATAAGAAGAAACTGTCTACTTATCATCTTTGCAAACAATCAGCAAAATAATAATTTACCACCTGTCATTAATCTAACATTAGTAAACAATACTTTAAATAATCCTCTACCACCCTTTGCCAATATGAATAATAATAACATTGCACAAAATAATAATACTACAAATTTGCAAGCGCTACAACTATTAACACAAATGTTACAGTAACAAGAGACTGATAATAGTAATCAGTCTTTAAATTAGAAGGTATATCTTAAGAGAGTAATGATATAGAACCTTTTATAGTTCCTTTGAATTTATCTATACAGGAAGCGTTTGTAAATAAAAAAAGGAGAATTGTTAATGAAGAGGATGTAATTAAGGAAAAGAAAAACCAACAAAGAAATATTGTGATAAAAAAAACTACTAAACTAAAAGGAAGATGAAAGCCTCCTGCAGTACCTCCAGTAGTTAACATGGTTAAGCCATATATAACTTAACAATTCTTTGATATACCAGCAAATATAACAAATGGTTAACTATTAGCTTTAAACCAAAAGTTTACAATAGATATAGTCAAGAAACTACGAAAACCTATTACAAGGAAGTTAAATAAAGGAAAAAGCCCTATGATAATAATAGAAATAACTCGCTCAGAAGAAAATGAATCAAATAAAGAACTTGCTAAAGTGAAAGTAATGGACACTGTGAAGGTTAATAAAGACAATGAATATTTTGCATTATAAGAGACATATGGGTTCTTTACTAGGAAAATGAGGTTCTCGGACCTTCTGACCGAAATCAAGATTTTTGCTTTATATTAATGTGTAATATATAAACTT